CACGCTGCCACCACCACACAGTATGAGGATGTATTTACTGACATAGACTTCAAAACACTTCTATAAGTCGCTCTGGATAAGGGTGTCTGCCAAATGTGTAAAGGTAACACATAAATGTAACATTTGGATCCCTCCTTGGTATCTAGCATCACAATCTTTTAAATGTACGGTGGTCCTCAGGCCAGGGGGTGCAGATAGTGGTGGCAGACTTCCTCTCCTGCTTGTCTTGGAGGTCTCTAGCAGATGAGGGTGTGGTTTAGTGTAGGGATCTTCAATATTATCCACAAAGGGCTGGTGTGGCTGCAGGCTTTTGTTCCAACCAAGCAGAAGCCACATCTGATTCCACTTGTTTAATCAGTTCATCCTGGACTTCAATGAACTATCAAGTGTGCCTCCTATTTGACTGAAGTGAAACTGCAGTCACACCAGCCTTTTGTGGATAAGATCAATGGCACCTGGTTTATGTGAGTGTGCAGCAGGACATTGTAAGTTTGAGGACAAGCCAAAAGGTTGATGCATATTTTATGTCCAATGCCCTATTTAAATTCTCTGACCGTGTGTGGCCATGAGCTGAGCAAACGTAAAGCTGAGCAAGATCAGAGTTACTGCCCATGCCAAGGGACACAAGCACTAAGTAGGTGTGGTGAAAGCAACCAATTACCACAGAAACAAATTCAGAACTCCAGAAACTGAGACCTCTGGTGACAAGTGGTGGTGTTGTGGTGAATGAATGTGACACCAGTTTGTGTCTGAATGTCCCAGATAGTCTTATCATACATACGCACGATGGGCAGAAAGGCCTCTCACGTACACTCGCCAACATTTTTCTTCATGTTGTATTCACTTAGAAAGCATAAATGCATAAATAATTTTTTCACTCTCATTTATAAAGACCAATAGCATTATAATATCACTCACAATATAAGCTGTGATGCACTTTAACGACACACTTCTAATAATGTGGATTACTTGAATTAGTACAGATGTTACATTGTTTAATAATATTATTGTCTGCAATTCACAAGTATCAACATTTTAGAAATGGTAAAATACGCATTCATGATATACCACTATAATAAAATGCCATTATCTCTTAAAAACCAAAAGTGACTACAATAAATAGCCTTACTGTATAGAAATTGACAGGAGTGTGGGGAGACTCCCTGATAATGACATCATCATTGGTATAATACTCACACTGGGCTCTCACAGTTATCTTCTGCTGAGGAGTGCGAGTCTCATCACCATGCGCGAGATTGTTCATCTTCAGATCGGACAGTGTGGTAATCAGATCAGTTCAAAGGTATGTGATAACGAACTTGTCATTTTAATTTCACCTACCTTTTCCCCCATGAGTAAGATATAATGGTTTAAAAGGTTTTAAAAGGTTAACATATTCAAATACACTAACAAAACATGGATAAAAAACTTTTGGCCATTTTTGAAAACATGCAAATTTTTGAACTTTCATTTATTATGTTGAATAATTAATTAAAACTGAATCTAGAGTTTGCAATATTAATGAAAAGCTGATTAAAATGAAAAGCTGAAGTAGGTGTCTGATGTATGACTTATATAGTTTGTCTTTGTATTGTCTGGTTAAACATACCAATAAACTGACTTTTTGACATAGGTGTAATTATATTTATTTTATTTTATAAAATATGGTTAGTATAACGCCTCGGCAAAGTGGCAGGGTGTTCCCTTCATCCAAGCCTACTGGAAGATAAACATGAGGAAGAAGCTAGAAAGGCTGTGGTGCCTTTATCAAAGAGAAGTACAGAGTAGTTTATATAGTTGACAGGAAATGAAATAAATAGCTTCATAATGAACAGCGAACATGGTTTTCCTTAGGATAATGCCATGGATTACATCAGCGTTATGTTTTGGACAAAAAAATAATGGTATTTTAGATTACCCAAAATTTACCAAAAGAATGATTAGCTAGACAAGTTTGCGAATACCAGCATATTTAGTGTGCATTCATTCTACATTTCATTTTACCTTTTCTTTTAGTCAATTTCATTCATTTTAGTTAGTGTGAGAATAAATTCAGTGCCTGAAGTTGATGTGTTTGTTTCAAGTCTTATATTTGAATACTATTTGTGTTTAAAGTTCTGGGAAGTTATCAGTGACGAACATGGTATCAATGCATTGGGAACCTATGAGGGGGACATGGACGTTCAGCTGGAGAGGGTCAGTGTCTACTTTAATGAAGCAAATGGTAAGAGATTTAAATTCAGAAGAGTTTATGTTGTTCTGTAATTAAATATTTGGGTAAAGTGTCTATATCTGTCTCCAGCTGTAGTACTGCAGACATTTGAGGACACGTTGTATTATTTTCAGGATTTCTTTTATTATTCCTGAGTGTCTATGAAACACATCTTGAGTGATTTTTTATTCTGAAAATGCCATTTCTGCTTCTTGAACTCACAGCTTGTTTTCCGGACACCCCCTCCCTCTAGACTTGAATATTCATAAAGCAATACCCCCAATGTCAGTTTCATTGTCAATGTCATTTTCATAACCTGGGTAATCACCACCTCAATTAAGAAGCATTTTGCACATCAGTATAACTGAATACATGTACATTATTCAGATCGAAATAATACAGATTCTGATATAGACAGGAGTGCACTATTCATTTTTTGTCTATCATCAGTGGTTTACTCCAGTAGCCCAACTGCTTTACTGAGCTCCAAAATAAACCATATTTCTATACAATCTGGCCTGAAAGTCACAAACAAAATATGCTTTAATTTATAGAGCTGTCACTATATTTAAAGGACCCCATTTTGACTAGCAGAAGCACTGCGTCCCAGATTCATAGGAGATTGTAATAGTCTGCCCAGCAAATTTTTCTGGAATGTAACAATTCTAAAAATTAAAGTAAATCTTATAAAATATTTTAGGTGGCTATTGTTGTCAAATATAAATAACAGTTCCCTGATTTGGGAAAGACATTGAAAAATAGTTAGCTTATTAAATCACATTAGAACTTGACTGAACTGTAGAAGTTCAGACGTTGAATAAAGTTATGTTCTGCAAACTGCTATTTGTTGTTATATTTTGTGAATGGAAAATACTTCTTTTTCCAGCAGCCCTGTTTTATTCAGTGTTTTTCAGTGTTTACAGGGGCATAGTGATAGACTTCACACTTAATAAAGTGTTCCAAATCCATTTCAAATCCAAATACAGATATTTGGAGCACAAAACAGATATATAAAATCCCCTCTGAAGGTATTGGAACAGCAAGGCCAATTCTTTTGTTTTTGCTATACAATGAACTCGTTTAGGTTTGCAATCAAAAGATGAATATGAGATGATAGATCAGAATTTCAGCTTTAATTTACTGATATTTATATCTAAATGTGCTAAACAACGTAGAACATGGTACCTTTTGTTTGAACAGGTGTTTCTTGTTGCCCAGGTATGCCCAGTTAGATTGATTGTTTAAACAAATAATAGCTCTGAATGTCAATGGTATCTGAAGAAATGACCAGCAATAAGACCAGAGAGCTGTCTATGGGATAAAAGAAGCCATTCTGAAGCTGAGAAAAGAGGGAAAATCTATCAGAGCCATTACACAAGCAGTGGACATAGCCAATACAACAATTTGGAAAGTCCTGAAAAAGAAAGAAACCACTGGTTTACTAACAACCAGACATCGAACAGGTGGGCCAAGGAAAATAACAGCAATTGATGACAGAAACATTGTGAGAGCTGTGAAGAAAAACCCGAAAACAACAGTCAGTGACATCACCAACAATCTCCACAGGGCAGGGGTGAAGGTATCACCATCCACTGTTCAAAGAAGCCTTCAAGATCAAAATATAGAGGCCATACCACAAGATGCAAACCACTCATCAGCAGTGAGAATCAGAAGGCCAGATGGGAATTCATAAAGAAATACAGAGATGAGCCACAAAAGTTCTGGAACCAAGATTAACCTCTACCAAAGTGATGGAAAGGCTCATGATCCAATACATACAAGCTCATCGGTCAAGCACAGTGGAAGTAGTGTCATGGCTTGGGCTTGCATGGCTGCTTCTGGAACGGGCTCACTAATCTTTATTGATGATGTAACTCATGATGGTAGCAGCAGAATGAGTTCAGAAGTATATAGAAACAAAGTTTCTATAGTAGTAGTATATATATAAAAAAAAGTGGAAGGTTTTAGACTGGCCAAGTCGATCACCAGACTTTAACCCAATTGAGCAAGTATTTCACCTCCTGAAGAGGAGACTGAAGGGAAAAACCCTAAAACAACCAACAACTGAAAGAAGCTGCAGTACAAGCCTGGAAAAGCATCACAAAAGAAGAATGCAACAATTTGGTGATGTCAGTGGGTTGCTGGCTTGATGCAGTTATTGCAAGCATACTGTTGCTATACTTTTGCTCACCTAAAAATTGGGTGGTCTGCCACCAATGGTGCCATGTTCTAAGCTGTTTAACACATCTATATATAAATATCAGGAAATGAAATCTGAAATTCTGGTCTATCGTCTCATATTCATCTTTTGATCTCAAATCTAAATGGCTTCCATGTATAGCAAAAACTAAATAATTGGCCTTGCCATTCCAATACTTTATATATACAGAGGACTGTATATAGTTACAAATTTTGGCAGTAATGCTCCATAACAGCTCGTTAAAGCCTGTACCATTTTCTTAAGAATCAAATGCTTTTGCAAGAAATTAGTACTTCTACTACATAGCAATTATTCTGATTAAGATTGTACTCATGAATATTTCTCGCTGTGTGTTCTTAGGTGGGAAGTATGTCCCCCGGGCAGTGCTGGTGGATTTGGAACCAGGAACAATAGACAGTGTGAGGGGAAGTCACATTGGAGGACTCTTCAGACCTGACAACTTCATACATGGTGAGACCAAGTGTAAAAGCCCTTTATTTACAAAGAGATTTCTCTTTGTAAAACTGAATATGCTATAAAGCGCTGTTTTTTTGGTTTTTTTTTTACCTTGTTATGTACATTTATTGGTCCCTGGAGGACTAGTGGTTAGGCCACAGGCTCTCACCGCTGTGGTCTGGGTTCGATTCCCGGTCAGGGAACCAGCCCCAGGCACTGGGGTCGCGTGCAACAGTGTGCTCTCAGTGTTGGTCCCAAGCCAGGATAAAAATTGGGGAGGGTTGCATCAGGAAGGCCATCCGGCGTAAAAACTGTGCCAAATCAAATACACAGACCAATGATCCGCTGTGGCGACCCCTAACGGGAGCAGCCGAAAGAGGAACAACCACCTTATTATGCATATTTAGATAAATAATATTATAAAGGTTACCATACAATTATGTATTACAAAGTAGAGGCCTTGGTTTTTGTTTCTGTCGATGTAATTGATTTCCTCATTAATTGACAGGGAATTCTGGAGCTGGAAATAACTGGGCAAAAGGTCACTACACAGAGGGGGCAGAGTTGGTCGAGCAAGTAGTAGACCGTGTCCGTAATGAAGCTGAAAGTTGCGACTGCCTGCAGGGCTTCCAGTTTGTTCACTCTTTGGGTGGTGGTACCGGCTCAGGCATGGGCACCCTCCTCATCAACAAAATTCGTGAAGAGTTCCCAGACCGAATCATGAATAGCTTTAGTGTCATGCCCTCTCCTAAAGTCTCTGACACGGTAGTGGAGCCATATAATGCCACACTGTCCATTCACCAACTGATCGAGAATACAGATGAGACATTCTGCATTGACAACGAAGCTCTTTATGATATCTGTTTCCGTACACTCAAGCTCACCACGCCAACATATGGAGATCTCAATCATCTTGTGTCTATGACTATGAGTGGGGTCACAACCTCTCTGCGCTTCCCTGGTCAGCTGAATGCTGACCTTCGCAAGCTGGCTGTCAATATGGTGCCCTTTCCCCGCCTTCACTTCTTTATGCCTGGCTTTGCTCCGCTCATACCACGAGGAAGTCATCAATACCAGGCCCTCTCTGTTCCTGAACTCACCCAGCAAATGTTTGATGCCCGGAACATGATGACAGCATGTGACCCCCGGCATGGCCGCTACCTTACTGTTGCAGGAGTTTTTCGTGGTCGTATGTCCACTAAAGAGGTGGATGAACAAATGCTTGCGGTTCAGCAGAAGAACAGCAACTACTTTGTGGAATGGATCCCCCACAATGTTAAAGTGGCTGTTTGTGACATCCCACCACGTGGCCTTAAAATGGCATCTACCTTCATTGGAAACAACACAGCCATCCAAGAGATTTTCCGGCGAGTTGGGGAGCAGTTTGCCGTTATGTTCCGTCGCAAGGCTTTTCTGCACTGGTACACAGGAGAGGGCATGGATGAGATGGAGTTCACAGAGGCTGAGAGCAACCTGAATGATCTAGTATCTGAGTACCAGCAATATCAGGATGCCACAGCTGAGTTGGAGTGGGGGCCAGAGGAAGAAATTACAGAGGTAGAGGGAAATCCGGAAACAGTAATAGACACCAGCGTCGACATAAAAACTGAGACCATGAGTGATGCTTAGTCTAGTGAACAATTCTAGTGAAGAGGGTTGTGTTACCAAATGTGCTATATCTTGAATACTATTTAATATTGATACTATTACTACAATTTATTGATATAAAAACATTGGTGTGACATTATTCATGTTCTTGTTTTCATTAAAAATATTAATTTCTACTTAATAATAACAGAATTCTTTGTAAAGTTTGTGTTTAGTATATTTTGAGTCACGTTTGCAGTGTGTAATACAGTATGTTTCAAAACATGTACAACCAACATGCACCATTCAAAACTGTTTTGAAATAATGTTCCAAAATATATAGAGTAGATATAGTGTATAAAGACAATAAATGTTACATATATTGTTCATTTAACAGAAATGTTCCATCAGTGCATGTGTGAAATTGTGAAAGAAAGATGTTAAGCACAATAATTATTTTTACAATGGTGCAGAGATACTTTGAAATATCTAAAAGTGTTAAGTGACTTTTTTTCTTCCTTTTTTCAGTGGATTAATACCTACCTTTTCCTCTTTTGTTAAATCAGTATACATATTTTCCATTTTGAATAGACCAAATGTCTTAAAATACTAAACCTGCTAATACCCCCATGAAAGTCCGAAAGGCAACCCTAGTCTTCCAAACAGGCAGTCTGGCAGGACATGATTAAACTCAAGCAGCTCTGTAGATATTGATAAGCAGCTCAGAAAAAGCTCCATTAACCACAGATGACAGTGAAAGCTACTGTAAGTGATATTGGCAACTTGCTAACTTCCTCTAGACTTAGCCGGTGAAAAAGATCACACCCTCCCTTCAGCCCCATGCCCTCCTTCCAAAGACATATACATGCTCTGAGCATGACATAATGATGTAGCACTGTAACGCTGGTGCTGGTGCATGCAGGATTTTGCCACACTTCGATTCTAAGTTAGAAAATTTATTACACTGACTGAATTGCACTAACTGAAGTGCAACTTAGATGGATCAAAAGTCTGCATCCACCCCATAACTTTTTTGTAACCAACATTCAAGCAACTGATACTCATAATTATCCACAAGCAATAAAAACAGTATGAAATCTGTAAATATTTTATTTGTAATATTGAACTTTAATACTGACCTGCATAAATAAATACTGAATAACCATTTGGTCTCTGACCTTGGCACAGTACTGTACATTCCTTGTATTCTCTACATGAAAACACATTATTCACAAGCCAGGAAGAATTAAAAACTATCCATCTGATTAGAGACAAGGAACACAATTTTTAATTTAAAGTTTCTATGGATACCAAAGACTGCCAAGCAGAAACTTAGCTCCACTCTAGTGTTCATCACAATCGCTTACCACAGTTGTTCCAGACAACACCCAGATGAACTTATCTGTGTCACCATGTGAGCCCTATAGACTGTGTGTCCAAAGAAATTCTCAACTGGATGCACTACTAATACTAAAGAAATTTAATTGGTCATTTAATTTAATTTAAAGAGGAAAGGCCCAGGATTCTTACCTAAATTAAATTCAGAGTAGCCAAAGCTGTGAGGAGGAGAATGAACTCATTCAGAATGCTGCAGCTATAATTTTTACTAGAATAAATGTGCTGATCTTCATTTATAAATCTGCCATCAGCTGCCATTAGTTTTTTGTTTTGTTTTGTTTTGTTTTTCTTAATCAGCCTTTAAAAATTTAAATGTTGCTGAAGGTACTATTTAAATAGATCTTGATTATTTTTAAGCAGATCTTATTAAAACAGAAAACTATCTTTATGTATAAAATGTGGTACATAAATAAAAATAATCTGTATTTTGTTTGTCTGTTGTGGGAGTTTTTTTGATCAGCCTAACCATTTAGGGAACAGACAACTGAGTTTGCTTTCAGGTAGAAGCAAATTTGGCATGAAAAGCCCTTTGATACCAATGTTGATAAGATCAGAATTACATATACTGTGTTTTTACACGCACTGAAGACTTTATTAGGAACACTATACTAATACTGGGTATTTGCACTCAAAACAGCCTCAATTCTTCATGGCATGGATTCCACAAGATGTTGAAAACATTCCTTTGAGATTCTGGTCCATGTTGAAATGATTGCATCATGCAATTCCTGCAGATTTTTCAGGCGCACTTTCATGCTTCAAATCTTCCGTTCTACCACATCCCAAAGCTGTTCTACTGGATTCAGATCTGGTGACTGGGAAGGAACATTGCAATAATTGTCATGTTCATGAAACCAATTTGAGACGACTTTTGCTTTGTGACATGGCGCATTATCATGCTGGAAGTAGCCATTAGAAGATGGGTAAATTGTGGCCATGAAGGGATGCACATGGTCTGCAACAATATTCAAATAGGCTGTGGCATTCATGCAATGATTGATTGGATTAATGGGCCCAAAATGTGCCAAAAAAACATTCTCCACACCAGGTTGGGTCCATGGATTCATGCTGTTGGTGCCAAATTCTGACCCTATCATCTGTGTGCCTCATCAGAAATTAAGATCAGAGCGGGCTATGTTTTTCCAGTATTCAATTGTCCAGTTTTAGTGAGCCTGTGCTCACTGCAGCCTCAGCTTTAAGTTCTTAGCTGACAGAATTGGAACCCAATGTGGTCTTCTGGTGTTGTAACCCATCCACCTCAAGATTCGATGTGTTGTGCATTCTGAGATGCTTTTCTGCTCACCACAATTGTACAGAGTGGTTATCTGAGTTACTGTAGCCTTTCTGTCAGCTCGAATGACAAAGGGGAGGGAGTTGCCAGGGCATCCCATTCTGGGGCCACAAGTAAAACTCTGTGGTTTGATTGATGAATTCTGTGTAGCATGGGCAGAATCAGCAAGCAAGTATAGAATTCATACAATAGGCCACAAAGTCAAAGAACTGTTTGGCTCTGCTAGGGACAACCATGTTCAACAATCAAGCCAAGTTGACTTGGCAGAGAGGTCCAACTGTGTCTGGCTGAAATTTCTACAGCTCTGCTTAATCTCAGTGAGGTTAGCCATCGTTGCACCCTCTTGAGGAGCTTCTGTTTTTCAGCCACCAGTCAGAGAGCCGTTTTTTGCCTTTGTGCCACCCTGGTGATTTATATACTTGATAGTCACTCTGTTGTCAAAACAGAGCAGGATGTGACGCTGTCTCAGAACAGGTAGGAAGAACCAGGGGGTCAGCGCGGCCATTCTAGCAGGTTCATGTGTTCTGACCTCACCACTGTGACCATCTCTCACCAATGAAGAACCTCTCCTAGGAATACCCCTTTTTATGAGAAAGAGAACAATGGTCTTTGTTGATCGAGGGTGGGGTTTAGGCTGATCAACTATTTCTGACCGTCCCTTAGTTCCACTGGCATAACAGCAGTCAACAATCCCAGCATCAGCCATTCCAAGCATCCTCAAAAGAAATCGAGATCAAATGTAGAGGCCTGCTCCCATCTTGCATCCCAAAGTATGCATTGCACAGACCAACATCTGACAACTTTAGCATGTGAAAAGGGGAGGACTTTCAGGAACTAGTTCAGTACTCTCAAATCAAAAATAAGCAAGAGATGCCATCCTTCTTCAGAACAAAAAATATGCTGAGTTGAGCTCCTTGTTCTGAACAG